GCACTCCCCGCTTGCCTCGGCCATCTGGCTGGGGACAGCTGTGTCCCCTCCCAGGGCTCTGCGCAACCTTGCAGCCGTCTGGCCTCAGAGCATGGGCTGGGGGGACCCTCCCCGGCAGCGCGGGGCCGGGCAGGCGGTGGGAGCATGCCACAGGTGGGGCAAGGCTCCTCTCTGCTCCACCGGTCTCCACCTCTGTCCCAAGCATCCCCCCCCTGCACCCCAGTGTCCAGGCAGCGGTGCAGCTGGGCGCTGTGGGCTCTCTCTTGCAGGCACTACCACAGCATGGACATCTTCACCCACTACGACATCCTGACCCCCAACGGCACCAAGGTGGCGGAGGGACACAAGGCCAGCTTCTGCCTCGAGGACACGGAGTGTGAGGAAGGTGGGCGCTGCGAGGTCTTGTGGCACCATCCCTGCCCATGTCCCCGCCGCAGGGCTGCCTGTCCCCAGCCACTGCGCCTGTCTCTTCCTGCCCACAGATGTGGCCAAGCGGTACGAGTGTGCCAACTTCGGGGAGCAGGGCATCACCGTGGGCTGCTGGGACCTGTACCGGCACGACATTGACTGCCAGTGGATCGACATCACTGATGTCAAACCAGGCAACTACATCCTGCAGGTGCTGCAGCTGAGCCCCCAGCCCCTCCTGCAACCCTCCCATGTGCACCCCCACCCTCTGCACCCCCAGCTCTCCATGTGCCCCAGCCACCCAGCCTTCCTTCCCTGCTCTCTGAGCAGGCTGGAGCACGGTGGGGCTGGCCAGGTTTGTGCTGGTGTGAGGCAGTGCCTCTCCTCGTGCCCAGGGACGTGCAGGGCTTGTGCGGAAGCTGCTCAGGCATGCTTCAGCCCGGGTTCTCCTGCTCTGAGCAATGCTGCTCATGGTGCACAGCAGCAAGGCCACCCTGCCACAGCAGCAGCCATGGGCTCTGGGGAGCCCTCCAGCACATCCTGCTCCAGCTGGGGAGACGAGTCCTGCCAGGGCTGGGCTGCTGGGGGCCGTGCCAAGCTGACATGGCGTGGGGCTGCAGCACTGCCGGGAGTGGGGCAGGGGGCTGCGACCCTCACTGTCGGTGCCCCACAGGTTGTGATCAACCCCAACTTCGAGGTGGCGGAGAGCGACTTCACTAACAACGCCATGAAATGCAACTGCAAGTACGACGGGCACCGCATCTGGGTGCACAGCTGCCACATCGGTAACAGCCCTGGGATGCGGAACGGGAAGGGGGGCACCCTGGGGCAGGGGGTGTCCTGGCAGGGGTGGCCCTGGAGGAGGGCAGCGAGGGGGCTGCAGGAAGCAGCGGGGCTGGGGCCAGGCAGGCAGAGGCAGGGGCTGGGGTCCCGGGACAGCTGCAGTGGG